GTAAAGAAAGACAGGAGTAAAAAAAACAGGGAGAGAGAGAGGCCAGATCAGGGCGCTGTGGAAGCAAAGGTTTCCTGTGAGAGGGGGAGAGACTTGTGTGTGTGTGTGTGTGTGTGTGTTAGTGTACATACATTACACCCGGGCGGCAGCCACACTGTATGATTTTGCAAAAAACTCTTTGAAATTTATTTTGTTTCTTGTGCATTTTAATGAGAAACCATCATTTTTCTAAGTGTGATTTTTTTTTGTGTATTTGTACTTTGCAAGTGTAAATGCATGCATGTCCTGCACAACTGTACTACACACAGTATGGATACTCACAATCTGAGCAGATGGAGACATCAGTAACTCTGTGTTTGCACATTATGTGGGAACTGTCGTCTAAACTTTAAAGGTCCAGTGTGTAAGATTTAGCTGAAAGGGATCTATTGGCAGAAAACGAATTAAATCCAGAGCGGGTCCTCTCTACGGAGGCCGCCATGTTTTTTTACAGCAGCCTAGACTGGACAAACTAAACACCTTTTGAGTTTTTATGACAACTGAAGGCTTCCACAGGTTCTCTGTCATGTTTGGAAGAGGAGGGTTAAGTTAGGGGTATTCAGCTGCAACATGACACTTCACCACTAGATGTCACTAAATTCTACGCACTGAACCTTTAAGTAATCCTGGAAAAGCTAAGAGCAGGCTACACTTGTACAATGCGGGTTGTTTTCTCCTGGAAGGGGGTCATGTGATAGGAGCCTGACAGAGCAGCTGCTTCGTGACTGAAAAGTCCCAACGAGCAAGCGGTAGTGAGTCTACGTTGTTCTTTCCATTTCTGCCCATTAAGACTAAACCTCAGTCCCAGCAGCGTTTCAGAAACTCAGTTTTAGCGGCTGTAAAACTCGAAGTATAGTGGACGCCAGGTGTGTCCGTAGCAGAGTTGATGTGTTTTCAAATGCAGATGTTGTAGTGTGGATGTAGCCAGGGTTAATTTTAAATTGAAGGGGTGGGGTTGGCATTTAATTGAGACTGTGGGGGGGATATAGGGAGTGCATTATGACATACAGGAACAGGCAGAAAAACAAGTGTGTGTCTCTATATGTGACTGTGTGCACCAGTACGTGTGTTTGTGTGCAAGTGTGCAAGTGTGCAAGTGTGCGAGCAGTCAGTGTTTTTGTAGGGAGGAGGGGATCCATAAGAGGGTCCGGGCACGCTGCCCAAACGCAGGTCATGGAGGGAAAAGAGGGGGAGGAGCTGCCTGAGGTAGAGGGGGGGGGGGGGCTCACGTGTGGTTATGAGTCCTGCGCATGTCTGCTGTGACTCCAGTCTGCGTGTGTGTGTGCCTGGATACATATGGTCCTGTGTGTGCATGCCTTCACAATACCTCCGAATAGCAGAGCGTGTGTGAGAGAAGTCAGCGAGGTTGCTGTGGAATGTGAAACCAGTGTGGTGAGGTAGCTGGCAGGACGGCACACGGACCTAAACACTGACTTCATTGTGGTTTAGCCTCTGCCTCATATTATGTCGGGGGATCCTGTCGGTGATTGTGGAAGAATTTGTGGCAACAGCGAGTTTAGAAGTCAAGGAGGTGTACATGTAGCTGGAAAGTTGCCGGTTTGAATCCAGTAAATTAAGAATGCTTTTGCTGTCAGCTATCATTAAAGAGCCATACAGCGAGAGACCCAATGGAGGTTTTGCAGTTGTTTTCGCAAATCTACTTGCAACCTACGGCTGGCGCCATTTAAGAGGTCGGCTGAAGATAAACACCGGATGAATAATAACCACTGTAAAGAAAAACAGATACCTGGAAACATGTCTGCACCTTCTGACATATATGTTTACTTATGTCTGTTCTTTTTGAGTAGTATCCAAAATACATTTGTTTCCAGACTTATAGGTTAAAGGAATAGTTTGACATTTTGGGAAATTGGCTTGTTTGCTTTCTCTCATGTCTCTGCATTGAGTTTGGGGCTGGATCAAGGATGCGATTAGCTTAGCTTAGCATAAACACTTGAAGCCGCGGAAAACAGCTAGCTGTCCAAAGTTTTATAGGGATGCACCGATCTGTTATTGACATTCGATATTGGTCAGATTCTTGTAGATGGATCTTTGACAATAGGTACTATCTATTTTAATAAATTCTGGTTTGTTTGTTAGTAGGAATACACAAGAACTACTCAACTAAATTCTATGAAGTTGAGTGGAGGACCAGTATCAGGGGGCAGATTCAGGCATTTTTTTCACTTCTCTTAACAAGGTCATTTGATTCATGGATCTTGATGAAAAAAAGTTAGGTTAGTAAGCGACTTGTATTGATGATCGTGTGTAATTCCGTCCAGATGACGGCCCACTCTAGCTCTATGTCTCCTGCTTGTACAACATCATTGTGCCCATATATTTAACTAGAAGGTGAGCCACCATAGCATAGAGAGAGCTATTAAACAAATGGACATACCAACAACAACAACCTCCTACCTGAAAATGACAAGGTTTAATAAAGATTTGGGTCATGCAATAGGAAGGACCTGCTTGAATCATACATACTGTACGTTTAAATTAGACATTTTAAAGCTCCCACGAACATACGACCAAATGAACCTTCACCATACTCCAGTGCTGTGGACCGATGACAGGCTTTAAGTACAGAATGAAGAATGAGTAAATCCTCAGTACATGACAGGCTGTTTGCTGTTGGCTCGTAGGAAATTTTTAATTAAGGTATTAAAGAACAGCAAAGAAGAGACACACAAATCAAAACAATGTACTGATGAGAAATAAACTTGTCAGGGTTTTTGTGACAGACAAACTATTTAATGCTGTTAAATGCTCTGTTTCTAAATCACCTCACTGATCTCTGACACTTTACTTGACACTTGTCTACAATTTCTAATTACTTCCTGGCAGATTGGATGGTGGTGTTAGTCTTAGCGGCTCCAGTGAATTAAAGAATCCAGATTTACAAAAAGTAAACAGTGAGTCATGGTGAACGGCGTAAATATTAGATCAGCTGAGGTGTTTGTAAAACAAACTGAGGATGTTGTGAGTATCTCTGGTGTCAATACAATATGTAATTATAAGACAGGGGAGCAGAGGTTTACTGAACAAACATGTGCGTGAGCTGTGTCGCCTTTCCCAGCAGCTGTGAAGCATTTCCCTGCAGGTTTGGTCCATTTCACTGCAGAGTTTTCCGCCTTTGGTTTCTTACTGTGAGATTTTTTTCTGCCTTTGAAACAAATGTCTGGATCTTGAGTCACTGGGTCTAACAAGAACTTACGAGTTGAGTCACGACCAGTCAGAGAAGCGCTTTTCGTCTCATGCTCCTTCCAGGGTATCATATCGCAACGGGTGGAAAACTACTGCAGAATCTTGGTGAAGCTCTTAGTGAAGGCGGACCACAGAAATGTTGAGGATCACAATAACGAAGCCACGCCGTAATGCTTCTCAGAGCTTTTTCCCTCAGGAGCAGAGCAACAACTAAAATTCTCAACACAGCAACAACTGGTATTATTGACTGAAAGGTCTTTGAATACTGGACTAATACCTTAATACTGCTAAATACAATGGGGAGTAAAACTGGTCTATAAAACAAATATGATTGTTTAAAAGTAACTTCTTCTTTATAAATTAATAACCCTGTTAAGACTCTGCTTAATTGTGAATTAAACTTCAATGGAGCTGTGGGTCTATGTCGTTCTAAGTTTTTCTCTCATCATTCCCAGCTCACTCCACTGATTGATTATTTCATGGGATTTTTTTTGATAAATGTGACAGCAGCCATTTTGGCTCTATCACAGTAGGAAAAGTGCATGTGTTACTAATAACTCTGAGGATCGCTGTGCTCCACTCAAAGGTTCCAGTAAGACGTGACAGTGAGCCAGAGTGATCAGTGCCAGGAGCCTGAAACTGAAACTAAATGGAATTCAGCCATCATCAGTTCTATTACTTACACATGTGATTTTCCTACTGTAGGAATTTCCTGTGACGTTCATTCTTTACATTCAAGCAAACCCTTACTGCACACAGTGTATTTTCATTTACTCTTCTTTCTTAAATACAAATACTACAGACGTGATTCGACAAGTGACATGAAACAGCAGACATAATGGTAAATATTTGTTGTTGCTTTTGAGTATTTAAGACATTATTATCAATCCCCACAGTAAATTCCATATAAACAATAAACATAAACTAATATACAAAACTATGTATAGCTGAATATATTTAGAGCTAGCTGAAATAAATGAAAATACAATAAGAAAAAGCAAATCCAGCTGAAAATGAGCCAGCAGCGGTGACAGGTCAAGAACAGTAGTGCAATATATTCGCAGTATGTAGTTGTTTTGGATCATTGAAGAATTAAGCTGAAGTTGTATTATTATTACTCAAATTGTTATTATGTTATTATCATTTAAAGCATTATCAAAGTTTTTGGTTATGTAAAACTGTGATTCGTCACGTCCCTCTGTTTAAGTATCCGTAGCAACGTTTCATGTTACGTTAAAGGTTGAAATGTTTCCACAGAACGAGTGAGTGGAAAAAGCTATTCCATCAAAAATCGTGGCTTATGAAAGTAAAATATTCCTGAATCTAAAATCTATTGAAACATATCGAGGATATTTTCCCAATTTCCCTGCGGTTGATGTGAAGGCTTATAGGTTCACAATGGATCTGACGATGGATGAGTTGCTGGAGTGATTCCTACGTTAATCCAGAAGAAATGAGTGATTTCTGAGAAAAGCAAACAAACTAAAATAATAGCTCTGTCGAAGACTTTTTCTTTTCCATTATTTATGCAAAACCAATTTATTGACCTGATTGGTCAGAGTCTCACTGGGAGAGACTGTTCGGATCTGTGTGACCGTAGCTTGTTGTGCTGCTGCCAAGTAAATGGAAAAAAAATAAATAAATACTGGTTTAATCATTCTTTCATTGCTATTTCTGATCTTTTTGGAACAGAGTCATAAATGGCAGCTGAACAACATTTACTTAATTTATTTTCTGTGGTTCTGTCTCCTCAGGTGCAGCAGCAATAACCAGCAACCATGCTGTCACTGGACGAGCCGCTGGACTTGAAGATTCCCTCGGGACGGACCCACGGTCCGGTGAGATTAGGGAAGAGGGCTTGTCCTTCGTCTATCTGTGCGCCGCTCAGCACCACGCGACCACGCCTGCTATGTTCAACCTTTCCCTCACCGCCCTCCTCCCCAGGTGAGAATTAACATGAAGGTTTCATAAGCCATGTTCCAACTACAGGAATTTTCTGAGGGAATTGGAAATAACTTAAAGTTAATTTAAATATTTGTCCCCTTACATACGGACACGTATTGGCTGATGCCATGTTGCAGCACAGGCCATAAATGTGATAAGTAGATTATCTGTTCTCACTTTCCCAGTAATTTAATATTGTAAATCCAATGAATGGTGGCTCTCTGCTGTCCTCAAATAGACATACATTGTCCCCAGATTTGTGTGGGGAGTGTGTGATAACAAGAGCAGCATGACACTGACATAAAGTGTCCACAAAGACAACCACAACATGGCTTCTGTGAGCGGATAACACCATACTTCAAGTATCTCATTAAGAGTTTAACTTATATAATTTCTTGTAGTTGATTCATTTGTACGCTCTTCTGCCTCCTGTGTTGTTCTCTGGTTCTGTATCTAACTATACTGGAGGCTCAGGGTCATGCAACTGTGCACTTCAACAAATATAAATAAATATTCTATATTTTAACATAGAATCAAATGACTAAGTGGAATGTTGAAGGAGTCACCGTCATCCCTCTGGTTTCATTTTTGTGTAGAATCTTAGAGTCAATACAAAGATGGACGAGATGACAGCCTTTAACGTTAACAAGTCATCTAGACTGCCCCCTAGTGGCTGGCTGCGGTATAGGTCATAAACCATAGACATGGAACAAACTATAAAGTCACATTTCTTTTCACACTGATCAAGTGTTCATGTTTCGAATAAGTTTGGTAAGACGCCATTTCTATACTTTCTGTCCAGTAGGTGTCCTCATTGTGCTTCAGGTAATTTACCATGGAGGTAGGAACTTTCATTCTGGTGTCAGGTGTTGCTAGAGGGAACAGTTTTTTCACCACATCCACATGAGGTGAAAGAAGCCTGTGGCTCCAAATTACATTAAAAGTGCAAGATAGTGGTGCCCTTCAATTTTGTTCAACAGGAGGAAGTGGAGACACGTCCATGTTTACAGTTTATGGTCCAAATGTACATCAAGGACAGTTTTGAAGCCACAGTTAGAAGCTAACTTAGCCAGACTGCAGTAACTACAGATCATGAGTGCTAACAAGCCTTTAAATAAAACTACAGGACACAAACAGGAAGCTTGTAACGATCCAGTGATAACTCTTCTAATCTCCGACGTAGATTCCCAGTCTCCCTCTCATGAACGACCCGGGTCCTGCTTCACTCCTCCGGCCATGGACCTCAGCCTGTCCCCATCCTCCCGCCACGCTTCATCACTCTCCCCGTCTCCTTCCTCCCCCTACTCCCCATCCCCGTCCTCCCCCCTGGAGTCCCCTCACAGCAGCCACAGCCCCCAGCCCCACGTGTTCTCTCGGGTGAGTCCAATGTTTACGGTTATGTCCTATATGTGTTTTGTGAAAAACTTTGTTTTGCTAATGTGCATCAGTTTCATCATTGATGAAAATGTTGAATGTTAATAACCCGATGTTAGTGTTCATTGAATGTGTCTGATCAGTCCTCTAAATGTATTTAAAGCAGCTGGTTGCTGACTGTTTGTATGAGTGGCTTTTATTTACAGTGTAGACATGTGAGGACAGTGATCGCTGGTATATGTCAGAGTCGTATCCTTGAGCTCTTCAGACAATCAGTAATTTAATCCCATCTGTGCTTCTGTATCTTTACCCTCCCTCTTGCCAGTATGCGTTTCGCTGAAATTCAACTGATCATAACAACCAAAATTAGCTGTTTCATAAAAATGCACATGAAGAAAAACTATTTTTTGTGTCTGCGTGTAATAGCTTCATCTTGTGTATAGGCATGAACAGAGTAATGCAACCAGAGGCGGGTCGTGACTGAATGTGCTCCACTCTTCTTCAGCAGCGTTGAATTGAATTGGGATCTTGGGAGTGAATCTAATTTGTCGGTGCAGCGTCTGCACACAGTCAGTCCAGTGACTCTAAATCTAATTCCTGCCATTTTTAAATGTTAAACATCACACACACAGGCTTCTTTGTTTGAGCGGACAATCTTTCCTCCTCACTCAGATTTATTGTTCAGCTCCGAAAGTACTTTTGGTATATTCAAAATTATCCTTTTCATCTGATTGGGTTCCTATGTTTTTTTTTTTTACAATAAACAAGTTGTTAAAAATTAAAATCAGCAGCATTAAGCTCTTGTGACTACAGATTAAAGTGACCAGAATGATCAAGGTCGTCAGTATTAAATTATGGTTTTCAGTATTATCTCGGCCCTGTTAAAATGTACTAAAATGTTGAAAAAGTACTGATACACAAACTGAAATATTTTCACCAAGTTCATATTTATTATCAATAAAATTTGGAATAATATTGCACCAACGCCAAATCAAATGTGTAACATTAACAATGAAGAAGCAAGGCTTTCTGTAATTCAGGTTTAAATTCAACTTTAAATAAGTAAATGTACATGTCAGTGCATTCTAGTTGGTTTTGTTGAGTTACATATTGCAGTGGTTTAATATCAAGTAAAATCAGGTACCTTCAATTCAAAATGACATGTCGGAGATAGGTATCAATGTTCTTCCCACTTCTCACCTTCAGGAAGCAGCTCGCCATCAAGGTGTGGAGGGCGGAGCATCACCGCAGGGGTTTCCGTTTTATCTGCCGATTGGAAGCCCGTCGAGGAGCTACAGCTTTCCCTCGTCCATGTTCATCAGCCAGAACAGAGAGAAGCCAGTTTCCCCAGAGCCCTCACTGGACGGTCAACTCGCCTGCCGCTGGATGAAAGTAAATATAATTATCAAAGCTGAAACAAAAATAAACAGATGAATCAATATTCAACACAAGTTTATATTTATTAGATTTCAGGAGTACAGGTGTGTGAACAAATCCATTTTGCCACAGGCTTATTAAAGTTCACAAAGATTCCACACAGAAAACATATAGTTAATCTCTGTCTGACACATTTAAGTGTCAACAACAATCGAGCAAAAACTTTCTTCTGTTCATGAATAAAGGTCGAATGAACTTAAAAAGTAAATCATAAGAAATAGATGGTCCTAATTTACAGGTATATTCAGATATAAAATGGTTTTGATTCAGGAAAATAAATGAACTCAGTGATATTTGTGGTATTTGGGTCATGTCTCTCTCCTCTGTCCTACAGTGCCACCTGCTGTTCGATTCCCTGCAGGACCTGGTTGATCACATCAATGACTTCCACGTCAAGCCTGAAAAGGATTCTGGGTACTGCTGCCAGTGGGAGGGCTGTGCTCGGAATGGAAGAGGTTTCAACGCCAGGTATGTTTACAATGGTGCAGCTGCAGTGTCAAACATACTTCTAACAACCGCTGCTCACAAACTGTGGTGAAGCAAAAATTATCATAAGATATTCAGCAAACACAGGGCACAACTACAACAGCAGCTACACTGAAGAACAGAAAGACAATATGTTTTCTTTTCTAATGACAGTTTTATTGCTATGTCAAAACTTTGCACACAATGACGTGGCCCATAGAGAGAGACAGAAAAGAAAAAAGAAAGAGACTCAGCTTCAGTTTCACACTGATCCAAATATTATTTTTACCCTTCTCAGTTATTTATGATCACAGATTGATTTTATGTTAAATAAAGTTAAATTCTATTTCATTGTAAGTCTGCAGACACAGCACAATGATTCACTCATCGTCCTCATCCTGCTCTTCCTCACAAAGATCACAACAGTCAGCCCTATGTGGTACACACCTGATATTGAAATGTGTCCTTGATGATGATTAACCTCTCCGCTCTATATGTAAATATAGATGTAAATACAGATGTACATCATTTCTGCTTGCAAATACTAAATGATGAGGAAGAGCTCTCAAAAGCTATAGTGAAAAAAGAAATGGCCAGTGTATGAACAGAGGCCCATTGACAGCCTTATAAGGTTACATAACTGGGTCTACAGGTTCCTTTCTATGTTTGTGTGTTTTCTCAGGTACAAAATGCTGATTCACATCCGCACACACACCAACGAGAAGCCACATCATTGTCCTACCTGTAACAAGAGCTTCTCACGCCTGGAGAACCTGAAAATTCACACCCGCTCACACACAGGTGAGTTCTCCGTGACACAAAGTGAAGAGGACGACAAAGGATCAGTGAGCTGATATTCTGTCTGATATTCAATGAATCGATACTAACAAGTATTGTCTGTGTTTCCAAAGCCTGATATGTAATACGCCTGTGCCACAGACACGTTCCTTCATTAGAGTGAACATGGGTACTGTAGATCTGTCTCACAAACACTATCATGCTGCTCTAAAGCACCTCTCTGAAAGTTACCTTATAAATTACAGTACTTTCTCTTTGCTGCTGGAAACAGCGGAGACATTTCAAACGAGGACTCGAACACAGATGCACAACATGAAGAAGCTGTGGAACCTGTGAACTATTGGAATAGGAAAAAAAATGCTGCCTGTAGTCAATATTCACGACCTCAGAGTTCTAGAGTCGTGACTGTATAGACTCTATATAAAGACGCGTCTCAGTTTCCTCTCACGATCCGGTAATTAAGAAATCATCCCAAATTCAAAAACTGCCATGTTGCGTGGAAGAGTTGCGGTATCAAGGTCCCGCAACTCACCCACTCCATCAAACACGAATTTCACAAATTAACCGGTAGAAATTAGCCCTTTGACACTAAACAAGCATTTAACATAAACTTTGAGATTTTTAGTGTAGCCCATGTCCCATCAGCTAACCTGAAGGAGGCAGGGTTTATGACCCTTACTGCAGCCAGCCACCAGGGAGACTCTCTTGGTTACAGTTTGGCGTCCATCTTTATTAACTTTTGTTTAATTTAAGGTTCATTTATTGTCATTTAAGTCACATTAAAATTTTCCCTCTGTGGAAAATGGAGAATAAGTGAAGTGAGGAGCGGCTTAGGATCTAAGGGCTCCCCTGGAAGCAGAGTGTAACAGATAATGGTTTGAAACTCGCCGTCTGTCATCACATCAATTAAATTTAAACGTGCAGGAGGAAGGTTGATGTAGGACACAGCAGAGGAGAAGAGATGGAATGAAAAGCAGTTTCCTAACAACAGAGAAATCAATCTTTTAGATCCCAGCAAACATTAAGCCTTTCACTTGTTATTGTTTAATGGTGCTTGAGGGTTTTCCTTTAGCACCGTTGTTATGCTCCACGGTTTATCAGCATCATCTGTTATCGACAAGGAGAAACAGCCGGGACTCCTTCTCGTTTCTTTCTCTGAGTGAGTCAGCTCTACTAACCACTTTGGCAGGTAGTGATAGTCGTAAAAGCTTGTAGAGCTGATATGCTGCCACAATGCCCACACCCATTCATTCTTTTAAACACTCCACTCAGGGAAGGCAAATACTGATTGAAACTGTGAGGGGATTTCATGAGCCAAGGGTGTGTTCACCAGTGAGTCTGTACTGTCGGTATTGGTTGTAACTCCATTTCACGCTTGGACTGACCTGTCAATAAAGTCGAAATGCCCAAAGAATAGGTTTAAATCATACAGTTGCACACACACACACACAATCAGTCCGAAGAGTTTTCCCTAACCAGGAGTGTTTCAGTAGACTTTGAGGCCACAGGGAAAGGGGATCCGGGGGGCCCAAAATCAATCCAAACCAACTACCCCCACAGAAACATGATGATACCAAACCAAATCATTCCAATCTTCTCAAATGATTATTTTTCTCTCAAAACCTCCACCACCTCTTCAGACTTGTCCTCTGGATTTGTTTGTATTAATACTGTGATCAAATAATCAATTTTGTGAATCTCTCCCTTTTTCTAGGAGAAAAACCCTACATCTGCCCTTATGAAGGCTGCAGCAAACGTTACTCCAACTCCAGCGACCGCTTCAAACACACCCGCACCCACTACGTTGACAAGCCTTACTACTGCAAGATGGCAGGCTGCTTGAAGCGCTACACAGATCCCAGCTCGCTACGCAAGCACATCAAGGCCCATGGGCATTTTGTTGCCCAGGAGCAAGGTGCCCCGAGCAGGCTGGGGTCTGGGCTGGGCCTGCTTGGGCACCAGAGCGCTGCTGAACTGTCCTCTGTAGGCGGAGCCCACATCATCATACCCGGAGCTGCTGCAGCTCTTCTCGGAGGTCTCGGGACCTCTTTGCCTCTTTCTGCTTTCTGCCATGCCAGAGCCCTGGGCCACCATGGGGCACCACTCTTCTCTATTGGAGGAGGCAGCAGCATGGGGCCTCTCGGGCTCTCGGACTCCCCTCTGCTACACTTTGGACTGTCGGCAGCTTCAATGTTAGGGCTGGGAGCTCTGGGAGGTCTGGGGCGGATGGTGGGGAAGGAGATGGAAGGCGAAGAACAAGAGGATGAAGGAGATTTGGGGGAGGTGTTAAACCTGTCTGCAGGGGTGGCGACTAGACGTAATGACGCTCTGTCCTGGGTGGTTGTCCCCCCGAGGGCCCTCCTACTCAAACCAGCTGTTGTCAGCTAAGAGGTGCACTCAGCAATTCAAAAAGAACCAGGAAGTGTTTATTTGTGGTTTTCTTTGTCTGTGTTTGTGTGCATATGTCAGGACGTGTGTTTTCACAGAAATACATAAGAAAAAAAAGTCAGACAGAAAGTGAGTGAACAAAACCAAACACACTCTTGAGTGTCTGGTCGCACAATGTTCTTGCACCATGAGTGTTTCAGTTGTCTCACAATGAAAAGGGTAACTTCACCCAAATAACTAAAAACATGTATACTTTAGTCGAGCAGGACCATTTTTACCTCCTGAGATTTTTAAGTATCCTTCCGAGATGAAGATTTGGATTCATCAGTGATGTTTGTACAGGCACTCATGGTCGCCAGAGGATAAATCATCCTTTGGTGATTCCCTGATTTTATCCTGTGCCATCATCACGTCAACAACATTAGTCCTGTTAGCAAATGTTATCTTGCTAATATGTTAGAGAAAACATTACACCTGTAAAGTTACTGTGAGCATGTAAACATACTAATGTTAGCATTTAGCTTAAGTGACCATGCTAACATGCTAAACTAGACATCAAACCTTTAACCATCATCATATTAGTATTGTCACTGTGAGCATGTAAGCTTATGATGTTAGCATTTAGCATTAAGCGCCACTTTGCCTCCAGCCACAGCTAACTAGCATAGCTGGAGGCACTTGCTCTCGTTGCAGCGAGCCTTAAAAATCTAATTCCGTTTGAGGAAGATGTCTTAAAAAAATCAGGAGATAAAAAATCAGTCTGCTTGGTCTGTTTCCAGAAAAGTGAGGGAAACATTTGTTTTGGGTGAACTGATCCTTTAACATTTTTTGATTCGTACATATCCCTTTCGTTCATCTTTGTGATCGATATATATTTTTACAGCAGACAATCAATTGTATTAGATTTACTGGACCAGCTGCACTAATCATTTTTGCCCTTGTTATTTTTGACAACCCCCACTCACTGCTTCACACTGAATTCACAGATAGAAAACAGCAGGATTATGGGGCGCAATGGGAAATACAGTCAGTGATGTACAGTTAATTAATTCATGTTGGAGACTTCATTATGATCGACCTGTGTTACATCCATTTATACGTTTCCTTCAGGCAAAGATAAGAGTTTGTGCAATTAAGGGGTTGAAATTCAAAATAAGATACAAATTTCCATAAAATGATGAATGGCATTAACAAACATTTTAGGTTATATGTAGTAAGGTGTAGTTTAAGTTGTCTATCTACAAAAATTAAAGGCTGTTTAAGTTATTTAGAATCAAACCCTTTACGGTCTGAGTTGTAGTTCGATCTTTTAAAGACGTTCACTGTGGATTTAATCCGACATGTGCAATATGAATTTAGATAACAACTTTACGGACTTTACTCACAAGAGCTCGAGCAACATTTTAATTACCCCCTTGGAGGAAAGCTGTATCTCCTGTGGCCTGTCGCCAGGCAAATTCATTTATGACGCAGTTATCTCTCTGGGTTACTCATGGTTATTAATGTCAGTGTGGCTCTCACCCGCTCTCTGTTTGTTTTGCCTCAGAGACACCTTGACACAGAAGTGATGTGGGACATTTACAATGCTATGACATGTGATAAAAGTTGACCATGTGATTTTCCAAGTCGCAAGAAGTAAGAACGAAAAATGAGACTGTATTGACGTAACTGAATGTAGGTTTGAGTTGAACTCCTTTGCTTGCAGTTTATTGTAGCTATTCCTTGTTCTGCTAATCAGTACCAAGACAATGATCTGGACCAGATCAGCCATGCCTTTTAGACAAAACCAACTGAAAAACACATTCAACCAGGAACAACCTAGACAAAGGTGTGTATGAGGAAATAATGGGTACACATTTGCTTTTGATAGTTTTCTAAACACAGAAAGGTACAAGAAAAAGCCAAACAATGGTTTGAAGAGTATTTTCAAAGGGGAAATGTTTGACAATGGCCACAAGTGGCCTGTATCTGTGTTGTTTTATCTTGTACTCTTTGTTTGCACATTGATTTATCCTAATCAGTATTTCTACAGTGTCCAAGTGCCTTTTGTTTCAAGTGAAATATATCACACGTTATATTGAAAAAATATTTACGCAAATGTAAAGTGTATGAATCTACTTTTCATTACGTTTTAGAGTACTGAATTTGAATAAGTTGACAACAGATGTGATTTGCACATCAGGGCCGCTGCAACACTTTTTAAAGGCGTCATCGGTGTTGACTATGACGACGACTCTGTGAAAATAAACACCAACAAATGAAAGAAAACCTGCTTCTGTCTCCAGTTGTGTTTGACAACATGCACTAAATATTCCAGGTGCCTGACAGAATTACCTTATGTGCTGTCAGTGAAAACTTGTTTGTTAAGCGCTGGTAGAAACCAGCTTTGCGGGTCCCTCGGGTGGACAGAGAGCTGGTAACAGAGTCTGTCCGATGTGGCATTTATGCAAACTAGACTGCAGCTTTCTGCAGACAAAGCTACAATTACGTTTTACACAATAAAGAGAACACCAGATAAAAGGTGACAGTTTCCCAGTGCACTTCTCTGACATAGAGCAACAAATATATGGTGTCTCCCATTCCTTTCTATGAACAGGTGGAAAGCTTTAATTTAATGTTGACATGTAAAACTCATTGTGGTTATGAGTTTTTTTCATGAGCATATTCAAGATGTCAGTCAATATTTGATTTGTGGTCCACTGGTTAAACTTTGCACTTGTCTTCTTTCAACACAGCGATTGTTCCTCTGGTTATGAAAGAACTTCCCTCTGCAGTAAAGATAGCATCATTATACAACCTGCATCAGTGACAGTGATCTGCATTTAAAACCCTAGACACACTATTTGCATGTGTCTGCTATTAAATGGTGCCGCTTTTTACTCTGCAACGCAGAAACAGAAGATTCCTGGTTACTAGGTAGGAACACAGCCATCTCGCACATTTAGAGCCAGAGTCAGTAACTTTTACTTTTAAAATACAGCCAAAGACTTTGTATCAGCTCCCTGTTCCCTCGTTGGGACTGTCGGTGTGTGTGTTCGCACATCAGTGTCACAGTGCTGACAGAACTGAGCTCAACCTTCTTCTGTGTTCCGTCTTTTTAAGATACTGCCACAGTGTCCTTGTTGAGCCAGGAGGGGGG